CTGAGATGAGGACAGATGGGTGGGCAATCTAGGAAGAGAAGAAAGCTTGAGAAAAGGCACAAGTCAAAGCCCCAAAGCAGACACTGCGTTTGGGGAAAAGTGAGTTATGTGTGGCTACGGCATAGATTTGTGGAAGGAGATGAAGTTAAGGCAGGTTACAAAGGACTGGGATTTGTGCTTTATTCGGTGGATAATGAGAAGCTGTGGACGGGGGTGATGTGACCCTAATCTCCAAGTGGATGGGCAGCTCTACTTAGTGCCCTTGCCACAGTTCAGCTACTCCCCTGGCCGCAGTGAGTGGAGAGAAAGGCCCTCACTTTCTGGATTATTCCTCACATGGACACTCACAGGACTCTGCTGGCCTGAGCCCTCTGTAATATGATTCTAACCCTTCCCTCGTCACCTTTGTTCACCCTGGTGTTGTGACTGGGTGAGGGTCCTGTGTTCCAAGAGCAAGGACTTGTGGGGCTGTCTAAGGTGCTAAAACAATTTCACTCCCAATTTTAAGCACTTCCATTTGAATGACTGGCTCCCACACCATTGTTTCTTTGGGGTAGATGATGTCATTCTTTTTCTACAAATGAGAAATAGAAGCCTCAAAAGTTGGCTCAATCAGAGCTAGGAACTTAGTTTCTTGCCTTCCAGCCCAGGGCTGTTTTCCACCACTGGCAGCACCAACGTAATTCAGTAATGCATGTCCCAAGTGATTCTCCTGCTGCTGCCACACTAATACGTAAAATGCCCAGAGTCTCTTCCCACTTTCATCTCTATATCTATTTCCTTAAATATTGACAGGTGTGTCCCCCCACAGTGCCTCCTGAGATTGACCATTCAGCGTGCTTGGGTAGACCTGCCTGGAATAACAGCTGTGCATGTTCAAGCCTCTGCTCCTGGGTGTAGCTCATCCTGACACTTTCCTGGAAGAAGGTGCTGAGCAATGTTCCCCCACAGCTCTCATAGTTCGCCAATAATTACTACCATTTTTACTGGGTATCTATTGTGTTCTATGCTCCGAGCTGTAAGATTTCCATATGAAGTGTCTCATTCTCAGGGCCAGGTCTCCTCTCAACAGATGACAAAATTCAGGCTTAGGCAGGACAAGTTACTTGCCAGTAGGCAGGGTGGGGATTTAAGGACCGAATTTGAACTCAGATTTGTGTGGTTCTACAGTGACCTGTCAATCAAAGCCTGTCATCTAACATATAGAGTTCAGTGGCTATCACCACTACTGGCTTTGTGATCCCAAGCAAGTCAGAAGTTTGAACTTCATCCTCATTTGCAAATTGAGGATGGTAGAAGTGTAGCTCCATAGGGCTCTTGTGAGGAATAGAAATGAAACATGTAGCAGAGACTCAATAACTGTTTGCCGCTAATGTGAATATGATTATTATTGAGCATAAGTTCCTTGATGGATGGATGGGTGTCTGATTAGACTCTCCATATACCCGACTGGGAAGGCAGGAAGGAAGAAGAAAGAATGTGAGGGCCAGCATATCCAGGGTGCCAGGCAGGACTTGCTTTTGCCCTACATTCTCGTGGTCTCAGGGAGTGGGGACCACCTGGCTAGAGCAGGCACATCACTAGGCTCCCAGGGGTGGTTCTGCAATACTTTATTAGCACTCTTTACATTTATGTAGAGCCTGAGACCATTCTCAGCCCTCAGAGACTCTGCATTCATAAAGCTATCACAACATTCTCTTTAAAAAGCCAGAGCTCTGGTAGGAGGGTATAGCTGAGGATGTGGCCTCATATCCATTACCACGTTGGCTACTCACATCCAAGAGCAGGCAAGACTAATATGACTCCCATCTCACAGATGAGAAAACTGAGGCCTAGCAAGGTGATGTGACATGTCTAAGGTTACTAAGCCTAGGGTCAGAGTCTCCAAACATTCAGAAAAAGGCTCTTTTAATTAGTCTCTAATTAATTGCCCATCCTAAAAAATTTTTCAAAGAAAAAGGCAGGTACATAAATTCACAAACCAACCAATAAATAAAAGCATTGCTAATTATTATTGACCATGGGACATATGGGGGTGAGTGTTAGCCAAGTCTGTTCTGCTGATTGCCCCAAACCCCTACCCTCACCAGAACTGGCTAATTGCAGTCCCATTCATTCAGAAGATGGGATGAGGGCAGCAGTAATAATTTCCCCCTTGGAGCCTGGTGCATGTAAGAATGCGTCTCGCTGGATGAGAACAACTGGCTCTTCTGTAATCACCTCCAGTGGCTCCTGCTCAGCACCCGACAGGGCCCAGAAGAGCCTTTCCAGGTTTAATGAGGCTGGGCAGGAGATGGATGAGAATTCACATGGTCTCACCAGGGCAGCTTGGCACACAATCTATCTTAGCTCCAATCCCCAGGCAGGAGGGACTCCACAGCTAGATGATTTCTATAAGTGCCCAGTCCTCCAAAGTTCAAGGGCAGGAAGTCATTTGCATCTCAGAGGGGAGGGAGAGAGGCAGTGGTCTGGTTTCCAGACTGTTAGAGCTCTGGCCTGGGGGCAGTGGGTACACAGACACCAGCCTCCCTAGAACCTCCCAGGGTCCTGATTTCCCCTTCTGAGGAGCAGTGACTAGGCCAGAAGCTAGAGGTAAAGAATGGAAAACAGGGAGGTGGGACTCCCAGTAGGCTCATAGACAGTATATATAATCAGACTATAATAACCTCAGTGAAACCCCTCTGCAAACACACACACATACACCTCCTTGCTCCTACCTTCCCTCATTTCCTCCAGAAGGGTGTGTTTCCTGACTTGGTCTATGGAGTCTGCATAGTAGACCATTTATAAATCAGTTGGTTCATCTCCCCCTACAAAGTCATCATTTATAGATAAAGGAACTGGGACTGTGAGAGGGGAAGCCATGTGCCCAAAGCCATAGGACCACCCTAGTAGCCAAACTGGGGCTGGGGTCAGAATGCCCCACTGGCACTCTGGTGTGGTCAGTTCACTTCAGCTTCAGTCACCTGATCACTTGGTTACATGAGATTCTAACCCCAAATAGCTCTTCTCTCCTACCCAAACCCCAAACCTAGGGCACTCCATTTTAACATGGAAATTTTTTATGGACAAAACGCATATCAATAGAGGTAAACTAGAGAGGAAACCTACAGGAATAACAAACTTTTCTCTTTTGGAGATGCCACTGGAGTTCATTTTCACCCAGTTTTTCTGCATTGAAGAGAAGGAAGAGGGAGCTGAACAGGGTTTGTTCTAAAGGCTAGAGGAAATCTGCCCATAAGACACCATCACCTGGCAAACCCACACTCCCATATTGTGACAAAGGCTTCCTTATAGATCCGTAGATCTCCACCTTGGCAGCACATTGGCCTCAACTAGACCAAATACACCTGAATCTCTGGGAGAGGAGCCCCGCATCAGTGTCTGTGAAGCTCCCAGGTGATTCCACTGGGCAGCCCAAGTTGAGCACCATCCTTTCCTATGCATGTGAGGCCACTGACCAACAGCACTGGAGTCACCTGGGAGCATTTTAGAAAAGCAGACTCTCAGAACCATGCCCAGATCTACTGGATCAGAACCTGCTCTTTGACAAGGCCCACCAATGATTCCAAAGCTCACTAAAGCCTGAGAAGCACTGAGGCATCTGACAGCAACTTTGCAAGGCAGGTGTTCCATTCCACAGGTGAAAAAACTGATCCTGAGTGAAGCTAATTCACTGGTCCAAGGTCACACAGTTGGTGAGTAGGGCAGCCAGGATGTGACACTGATTTGGTTCCAAAAAACACACTTTCTACTGCATAAACCACTTCCTACAGCACAATAAAAAAACATATCAGGGAGACCCCTGAGTGTTTAAGTCCTGAGACCCACTGGGCACAACCTACCTTTGAAAAAGATCTCACTTCCAATGTCAAGTTCCCTAGAATCAAACCTCAAATACCAGCATAATTCGTGAGGAAATACAAATAGTAAACACATGGGGGAAAGGTTCACTTTCTCTAGTAATCAGAGAAATGCAAATCAAAGCAACATTGAGGAGCCATTTTCTACCTATATAATTAGCAAAAATTAAAAAAAAGAATGTTAGCAAAGTTGTTCTGAAATAGGTACATTTATTTATACACAGCTGGTGGTGGTATAGATTTATATAACCCTTGCGGAAAGTAAAATGGCAACATCCATCAAGAGCCATAAATAATTATGCCCACTGACCCTAGGAATTCACCCTAAGGAAATCATTCTATATGAGGGAAAAAAGCTGTTTGTAGGAAGATGCTCATTGCAACATTTGGTGGGAATACTGGAAAAAACTCAATATTCAGCCGTAAGGGAATGGCTGAGTAAACTGGGGGTACATCAGCTCCCGTAGTGTCATTCAGTCATATAAAATGATAATTAAGAAGCCCAAGCAGTAAATGTGGGTGAAAGAAAGCAAAATGCAAAACTGCCCGTGTGCACTGTGGTTATTATGATGCAAAAATACAGGTGCTCCTCCACTTAAGATAAACCTGTCATAAGTTGAAAATACTGTGAGTCAAAAATGCATTTAATACACCGAACCTACCAAACATCATAGCTTAGAACCTGGCCTACCTTAAATGTGTTAAATGTTAGCCTGCAGCTGGGCAAAGTCATCTCACTGCTCTGCCCAGCATCAAGAATATTATACTGTATAACGCTAGTCTAGGAAAAGATCAAAATTCAAAATTTAAAGTACAGTTTCTACATAAGGAAATGGACAGGAAGGAGATGGGCACAAAGACAACTTGTGCTTCAGGGTGAGAGAACAATGAAAAGATCCCCTCTTTCTATTATTTTTACAATTACAAACCCCAACAGAATTGGTCCTTTGAGAACAGCCTTTGGGGATCTCTGGTTATGGGCTCTGTCTCTGAGGGGAACATGGAAACACTCCCATTCTTCCTCCCTGGACACAAGACTACACTCCCTGATTCTGCCTGGAGGTAGAAGGAGCTGGCCCCTCCTGTCCTGTGTGGGGTGGGAGGCACAGGAGCCACAGGAGAGCCCTTCCATCTTACCATGAAGCCTGGGGCACAAGTGCAGCTCCCAGAGATGCTGTGACAGTCAGCACCATTCTGACAGGTGCAAGGCAGCTGGCAGCCATCGCCATAGTAGCCAGCAGGGCAGGACTCATTGCAGTGGTGGCCAGACCAGCCTGGCTGGCAGGTGCAAGCTCCAGTTACTGGGTGGCAGCTGAAGAGATGAGAGAAGAATGAGAGGACAGTCTGGTCAGGGATGCGGTGTGTCTGGTCTGCCCAGGGTAGCAGAATCAAAGGGCCTGTGAGGCTAAATTGGTTAATGTCTCATTTGTCAGATGATCCCAAGGGTCCGTGGTCTCATTGGCCCAAAGAAACAAAGATTCATGGTGGTTATATAATTTGCCTATAGCAAGGAAGTGGCAAAATCAGGATTAGGATGTAGGTATCTGGACTCCAAAACAAGTGTTCTTTGTAACATAAATATGAAGAGACCAAAGCAGAAGGCAGCCTCTTCAGTCCCTTCCCTTATGTACTATGGGTCCAGAGCTTCACCCATTCTGCACTTGAGGCAGATGCCAGGTGTGGGGGCAGGAGTGTGGCCGTGAAACTCAGTGGCATATTGCAGGTACTCAGTGAACATTTGCTGAGTTAAAATGAGACTTTGGCAGATGGGGCCTCCCTTCTCTGGCAAAGTCTGCATTTGCCAGGGCTCTTTAAAAATGGGGGAAATTGTTGCCATTCCCTTTCTGTCTAGTTCAGAAAAAGGACCACTTGGCTGGAGGCAGGGTCTGTCTGTCATGACCTCTAGAAAGTGAGGCAAACTTTGGCTGGTAGAAGTCTGATCCAACAGCTAATACCCATTTGCAATCAGAAGGGATGTGGAGTATGGTGACTGCTTCTCAGAGCTTCTCTAGGTGTGTAATTGACTGATGGCTCAGCTGCTGTGTCTGAAATTCATCACTACATTTGCTGAGAGGCCACGCTTCCCCTGGGCTGCTCCCAGTTAGAGCACAGCAGGGATATTGAGGTCTGCACACTCTTGAGACCTGAGACTCCTCTGATGGTCGACTTTGGCTTAAAGACTTCCCACCTTACCACACTTTCTTAGAACTGAGCTGTAGTCTAAGACTTTCCACCCAGACTTCCTTCCTTCTCTCCTTCACATGGGTCAGACCTGCATTGCAGTCTGATGCTCTCTTAGCCTCCCCAGTCCCCTTCCCATCTCCCCTCACAGCTATCTCCCTAGTAAATCTCTTCTTCTTGGTGTCTGCTTCTGGGAAGACCCAGATCACACTCCAGAGAAGATGCTGGATGGTAGAGATAAGCCTCTTAGATTTCCTGTGTCACTTGCCTCCCTGTACCTGAGTCCAGCTGAAGGGATATGGTCTAATATTCTTTTTATGATGTAGTGTTCCCGCCAGAGTGAGGACCTGTAATGAGAGGTTCCATTGATGGGAAGGGCAGAAGTGTGCATGCTCTGGGCTGGCAGGAGGAGCCCAGGTACAAGTCATAGTTCTGCTAAATTCCATGAGGGCATGGACTTTATCTCCCTGGGTCATTAGTGGATCTCCAGTGCCTGGCTCATATTCATGGCCCAATTAAATATTTGAGAATGGATAATACTTTTACTACAAGTAATTCTTTTGTGTCTGCTGGCTTGTTTATCATCTGTCTCTCTCACCAGGTGACAGACAGCTCCATGGGAGAGGGCCTCTGTCTATTTCACCTCTGTATTATACCCCAGGACCCAACAGGGTCCCTGGCTCACGGAAGATGCTCAGTACATATTTGGTGAATGAAATAACGAACTAATTGTGTGAAGCCCAGCCAAACTATTTCTCTTCTTGGAGCCCTGGTTTTCTCACGGAAAATGAAGGATGGACAGGAGAAGACAGTTCCTGAATAGTTAAGTGCAAGTAGCTAATAATCGTTTTGGAAAATGTTGGATCATTAACTAGTCTCATTAATAATCAAATCAAAATAATTAAACATCACGTTTCCTCTATCGAAACAGTAAAAAGAAATTTTTAAAAAGGAACAATATTTGATGCTGGTAAAGCTTTCTGGAAACCTATTTGGGGATATGTATCAGGAGTCCTAAAAATATTCAGACCCTTTGGTCTTATAATTCCATTTCTAAGAATCTATCCTAAGGAAATAATCATAGTCGTGGGCAAAGATTTATGCACACAGATGTTCCTTAAAGCATTATTTATAACAGTGGAAAATGGAAGCAATTTAAATAATAATGTGACCAGGCTATTAAAGCAGTAGGCACTTTACACATATATTTCAAATCATGAAATAAGCCTGTGAGTTAGGCATTAGTGCCTCTATTTTACAGATGGCAATTGGAAGTTATGTGACTTGCCCAAGGTCACACAGCTAAATCTGTGGCAGCTGGAATTCAAACCCAGGTCTCTCTGCCCATACTCTACTGCCTCATGTCACCTCTAACAGGATACTGGTTAAATAAATTATGACAATTCATATGAAGGAATATTAGAGAAGCATTCAAATGTTTTCCAAACTATTTAACGATATAATCTTAAGCAAAATAAGCAAATTATATACAAAGCCATGATTTAAAATATGAGAAAAGCAATATAGATATATACAGACATGGATGATGAATGAATAAATTACAACAAGCTGGTTTTTGTGCTCTCCTCTGGGTTGAGAAATTATGACTGATGCTGAGTTTTTCTTTAAATTTCTATGTATTCTCTGATGCACTCAAACCAAGCACCTATTTATAAACAGATGTAAAGCAATAAAAATTATAAATATATAAAAAAAAAACTGCATGTAAGGGATGAGTGAAGACTGCCTGACCTTCATGATTCCAGAAAAATCCTTCCCTGAGCTCCATATTGTAAGGAGAAATAGCAACCTGCGTGGGTGCCAAGGAGTGGGAGCCCCCTTTGGTGGCCCTGACCCTCAGCCAGACAGTTGTGGGGCACTCCTCTCTATTCCAACACTCTGAGCAAAGCCCTTAGGCATGGCCTTTCTTAGTTCCAACTCTCTAGGGACCTCCTCTGAGGTTTTGGTTTAGGATTAGAAGGACCTGCTCAATCACAGTTGTGGAGACTGACATGCTTGGACTCAGGAAATGACCTGGCTGGCAGTGTTGCCTGCAGCCATCAGCTCTGCCCAGCCTGGGATATTCTAAAGGGTATCAAGCACACTTCTGCCCTTCCCATCAATGGAACCTCTCATTACAGGTCCTCACTCTGGCGGGAACACTACGTCGTGAAAAGCATACTAGACACACAGTGAACCAGCAAATGCTGCTTTCTAAGCACTCCCACATTTCCCATTTTCCATCACAGTTGCCAGCATTTTGGCTGCTCAGGGGTGTATCTGTGCCAATTTTACTTTTTACTCCGACTCAAAACCAAATTTGAAATCGTGTCTTTCTCTCTCCTTTCATATCCTTAAATTCTATTTTAAAAAATGAGATCTCTATTTTCTTAATTGGATTACTTGTCGAGTATTATAAAAACTCCACAATCTCTGTGCAAAGAAAGTGGGGGATGACCGCTGACTGAATGATTATGACTGGGAAACCGACACTTTCATCACATCTCTCTGCTCCCCTCCACCTGGTGGTGGCAGAGCCATTCCCTTGGGTCACATGGTGGGCAAGTGATTTCTGGTTAGGCCCAGGCAAAAGTCACAAACACTGGTATTCAGGCTGGTTAGGTTTGTTCTGTTTCTTTTTCCTTGCCTTTCTCCCATTTTCCCTAGACATAGATTAATCACAACTTAATGAGAGCTGAAAGCTGAACAATACGGGATTCTTTTCAGGGTGGATTTTTCTGCCTTTTTTTTCCTGGCTGCTCTGAGATTACTATCAATGCTGCATCTGTTGGCTAAATCAAATCTTTCAAAGGTAATACATGATCATGGTTGCTGAAATTTGTCTATGACAATCCAATTGCGGAGGGGATATGAAAGAGGCCCAGCACACAGGCACTCTCTTTTTCAAGGTTATTCTTTAGGAAGGAGGATAGTTTTCTTGTGAGTGCTACAAAGTGTTTATAAAAGGAATGAAGTGTTGAGGAATCTTAGCCACTTCTTCCTTCCTAGGGCACATGAACTTGACCTCTTTGAAGCAGCCTCTCCAGAGGGGCACAGAGCAGAGAGGCTGGGGCTGGATGAGTAGAGTTTTCTTTGGCTGGGGGCTGGAAGTATTTGTCTCCCCAGGAAAGATGCTCAAGGCCTTGCAAGCCGGCTTGGTGGAGCTCTGTAATAAGTTCTCACAATAGAAGTAAGCGGGAGCTGAGGTGAAATGAGGCTAGGTCTCTGGGGTCCCATGCTCCATTCCTTGGGAGTTGGATGGAAGCTTCACTTTCAAAGACCACGAGAGAACTTTTACCCCATTAGGCTGATGAAAAGTGATGGAGAGATTGAGAAACTGAGACACAGGAGAAGCACACATATCAGGACATTTGTTCAGACAGAGGTAGCTCTGAGGCCAGGACTCAGGTGCTCCAGGGCCCACCAGAACCTGCAGCTGAACTACTTTGGGACTGGGAGTTACAGAATTGTCCCTCTGCTTTTCTGGGATCCCAAGAGATGACTCTAAAGTGGGACAAAGGTTCATGGGAACAGAGGAGTGACCTGTGTCTACACAGAATAAGATAACTGTTCTCTTTGTCAGCGAGAACAAAGCCAGGGCAGCATGAGAGAGTTCGGCAAGGCCAGAGGCTCTCAACCCCCGGAGCAATTTTCCCTTCCCCCACCCTTCCCAGGAAACACTTTTGGTCGTCAGAACTTGGAGGCAGAGTATTGCTACCGGCTTCTAGTGGGCAGAAGCCAAGGATACTGCTAAATAACCTAAAATGCACAGGACAGCCCCACAACAAGGAATTACGCAGCCCAAAATGTCAAGGCTGCTGAAGCTGAGAAACCCTGAGTGAGACTGCACACCAACTGTGAATGTTGGGGGCTCAGTCACTGGCCAGGCTACCAAGAGAAAGGAGTGAAATATTTTTTAAAAACAGTAGGGCAGACATCAGCTCAGGGGCTGAACCACCTGCTCTGTGCCCGGCGCTATGCAATGCTAAGGCTGCAGAAATGGATGAGCCAGGGGCTCCTGCCCTCCAGGAGCCTGGGCTGTGTCACAGCTCCCTGCCTGGAGGAAGTCATAAAGACACTGAGGAGCCCAGCCTGGGAGGCTGGCTGCCAGGTACTCTCAGAACGCCCACTACTAAGCAGTGCAGCGATACTGCCTCTCAGTCCCTGAAACATGACATGCATTAAAGACAGTAAAGCAAATAATCATCAATATTGGATGGGCTGAGATTAGCGACAGAGAAGAGGGAGTCCTTCCAGATTAATAATGCATCGAGGACTCCTTCAGAGGAAGGATGAATTATGCAGGCCATGGCTGCTCAGGCACAGGAGGAAAACAATAGCTCTTTAATTTGGGGGTTGGTTAGATGTCTGTGGCAGGGACTCACCCTGCACTAGACCTTAGCAGCAGCCTTCAATGGTGTCCTGGAGAGGGCCCCCACCCACCCCCGGTTTCCCAGCAGGGGGTGGGGATTCTTGGTGCTGTCTCCCAACCATGGGACAGTCTGAGGTAGTTACTTAGCCCCAAAACCAGCCATGTCAGACCCCTATGTTTAGAGCCTTGGAGCTCTCATCCTCCCCTCCAGCCTAGATGTCACCTCCTCCAGGAAGCCTTCCCTGACCAGCACAGCAGTCTCCAGGGACTGAGGACCAAGGACAGATTCCATCTAAGCCATAACAGTCGCTAAGACACCTCTACTTGAAGTGACCAGAGGTTCTTGGGTGATTTGTGGAGAATCAAAAGCTGGAAACGAAGAGAGGCTGAGGCTATGTCCTGGCTGTCCAGAGTCAGGGCTGCTAACAGCAGCAGCACCTACTGCTCGGAGCAGCCAGTCCTCCCCTGAGCTGTCCTGCAGGCCTGAGGGGAGAAGGAAGATTCCCTCCATCCTTCCCACTCAGATAAAAGGCAGCCACCTAAAGGGCTGTGGAAGCATTTGCCTGGGGCCAACAGCTTCATTTATTACTAGAGGGTGAGGCCGGATGATACATGAAGCAGGAAGTGAAGGGAGCTGGGAGAGGTGGCCCAGGCAGCTCTGGCTTCTCTGCTTCCCAGATTCAGGCTCATCTGGAAGCAGGGGTGGGGCGAACTTCAGCCCAAGTGTCCCCAAGCTCCAAAGGACACAGAGTATAGGGAGAGGCTGGCCCTAAGTCAAGGCCCCGGACAAAAGGCCTGTTCTCTGCCCCTCCTGCTCCTCTATCCTAGCCAGGGCCTGCTGGGACAGCTCTCTCCAGGCCTAGGCAAGCCACACTGATTTTTAAGGTCCCTTCTAGTACTGTCCCTCTGTGGCTCCTGCTTCTACCCTGGCAGTCCTGTCTCTGGGCTCCTCGAGGTTGGGGAGGCACTTGGTTAGATGCTGAGCATATGGAGATGAAATGTTCTCCAGGACAATGCCCCTAGAGCCTGAGGCAACCCAAGTCCAGCCATCCCAGCCCCCCTCGAATGTGTGGCCCCACCCAACTCCCATCGGACTCCCCTGAGGGTCACTAGGCTCCCTCTTTGTTCCTGGGTGTGGGGTCTCACGTCAGTCCATTTTCATTGTTAACAGCCAAGGGTGGTAGACAGAGGCAGGTGACGTGGGCCTGGGTCCTGACTGACTGTGTGGCCTGGGTTTTCCCTTCTTTTCACCAAAGTGGTCAGCAAGAGTGATTGCTGAGGTCCCAGCTCTTTCACTGCCCTGGCTGGATGACTGGAGGTGGGGATCTCCGCCCTGAGCAGCCCCTCTCCATCAGTGCCCGCCCCACCCTTGCTCCCAGCTTGTACCTGATGGTGTTGTTGGCATCACAAGGACAGGGCAAGGTGCAGCCTGGGCCATGCAGGCCCTCGGGACATAGCCGCTCCTGGCAGCGTGGGCCTTTGTAGCCAGGTTCACACTCACAGGCACCGGTGGTGGGGGAACACTGGCCCCCGTTGTGGCAGTCACATCGTTGTGAGCACTGGAAGCCGAAGGTCCCGAAGGGGCATTCCTCTTGGCACCTGCGGAACAGCAGAGCAGGGCTGAGGCTGTGCCCTCACCTGCCCTTCTAGATCCATCCAATATGCACCTCCCAGACTTTAGGCCTGGGCCTGGTATGCTGCACCCCCTTGTGGCCCCTTCCCCTGTACCTCTCCTCCTCTAGGAAGTACTCCATGGTTTAGTCACCCCAGTCAGTTCTCCCCCTTATGCCAGGTCCCCTCAGTCTCCCAGCACTGAGTTTGTACTATCATATTTCATTGATTATAGGCCTTATGTGTTTTTTTTTTCATTTTTTGATTGCAGTAAAATAAATGTAACATAAAATTTATAATTTTAACCATTTTAAGTGTACTGTCCAGTGGCATTATGTACATTCACACTGTTGTACAACTATCACCACCATCCAACTCCAGAACCTTTTCACCTTCCCAAACTGAAACTTCTGTATCTATTAAACACTAAACCTTGTTTTTTAAAAAATTATTTTAACATCTGTGAAATCGTATATTTGCTGACGGCATGTCATAGTTTAATTATCAGTGTTTTTCATTCTGAGTATATAAAGAAAATGATGTATCTTACAATTAGCATCTTAGATTTAATGAAATGGGGATAATTTCATTTCTTTTCACTGTCTCTGGTTTTGTGAGTCTTTTGGGCAGATGTATAGTCTCCCTTCGTCATACAAGGAGCCAGGTCTCCTCTGCCAGTGTGGAATTTCGCCCTGAATACAAGAAGCATCCTCTTTCATCAGACTGGAGAATTCCATGTCCTTGGACTGGGGATCCCCTCAAGGCCGGGACTGAGCCTCTCACATCGACTGGGGAGCCCCTCAAAAAGTAGAACTGGGCCCTCTTTGTGTCCTCCCTCTGCTCTGGCCTGGTACGTGGAGTTCCCAGAATAATAATTGACTCACGGCCATCGGTTGTGGATACTCTGAGAGAGGGTGTGACCTCTGCCTGGCTTCCTAGACATGGATGACATTCCTCACCCCAGCCCAGGGCTATTTCCCAGGGGAAGCAATTTCATTGTCACAGCAACTGGATCTTGACAAGTTAAAGGGTAAACCCAGGGGCCTTTGAGGTAAAAGAGG